TAGGACTTCGGGAGCGCCGCCTAGGGTTTATAAAAAGACTCTACAGACGTCCAAAGGAGGGGGACAGAATTTATACAGACTTTTGGAGAGCTTTGGTGAGAGAAATAGGAGTTTTACGGGATTTCGGGAAGAAGAAGGAGAGCTGGAACGTGAAGATCGCTTTGCTATCGACATGAGCTTTTCTTCTCCACGTGAAGATCCACGGCTGTGGTTTAGGGATTCGTTTGTGTTTTGGGTATGTTTGAACCCTAACTTGGTTGCGATTTGGATTTGTTTCGGTTTTATCGATTTGTGCTTTATTCGATTGGTGTTTGCTGACCCCTTGGCCAATTATTATAGATTCTGAACTGCATAGGAATATGGGTTTGGTTTCGGATCAAAATCGATAGGATAGATCGTATTATTCACATAGGAATATGGTTTGATCGATCTAGGATTGATGATAGTGTTCTTCATGCATCTAGTTTGATAAATCACATAGGGATATGGATTTAGAGAACTTTAGATAGTGAGTTATATGCCGGGAGGTGATTTCTCTATTTTTGTTGCTTGACGATTCCCGAATACAGATTCAATATCGTGATTCTCGCATGCTTAGCATATACCCATACACGCGAATACGGTCCCGACACCCACGGTCATCTTAGATAGCTAGTTTACTCGCTTTTATTGTTTTGCTTCCATATTTTCTATTCTTTCCATACACTTCCACCATCACTTCTACTTGCTTGCTTTGATTTAGTCTCGATTAGGATTTAGATTTAGCTACCGGTCCTTGCGTTCGACCCCGTGTTACGACGATCCGTATCCTTGCGGTGAGTTGTGAATCGGGTATAAATTCTAGACTCGGTACACACGTATCATAGAGCACCTGATTGGGGATGCCATCGTAAACAAAAGAATCAAATTTGATCAGATATGGTTTCCTTGTACTCAAGTCCTAGAAAGAATTTCTTTCAAAGAAGCTGTAACTCAGATATTCTAAAAACATTCAACATTTTTAGATGTAGCATCATTTTCCAGGATTCAAGTTCTGCATCTGATTTTTCTAATATGATGTGCCTGTCTCAGCAGATGGCAATACTTGTTCCTGTATGGAGGTTTAATGAGTTTCGAAAGTTCTTTTTCCAAAACAAAGAAACAGTGTATTATCAATTTCCAATTTATGGTGAAAGTGCCAAGATCCCATTGCAAAAGACATCCTCATTACAGTGTCCTCATACTTTATTTACTACGTTAAAAATTGTTGAATTGTGTTCAGTCTTACAACTATATACATCACCAGAGGACCACAAACATTACATCATGACTTGCTTTTTTCCTCTTTCTCTATGGATTTGCTGTCAAAACTATGAAAATATGTATGATCACCTACAGAGAATGAAAGATGGACTTACATTGGCATATGCTAGATGGTACAGTGGAACTGTAGGCTGAGATAATATGAGTTCCTCATAGCAGAATGCCGCTTGTTTGTACCTGTTTCCAAGATATAAATTATGAATTGGGTTGAAACGGGGGATGACCCAAAAGGAAGGGGGCCCCACATTTGCAAAATGATCTCGAAAAAAAGATGAAGAGAGGCTCACATTTGCAAGGAAAGATAAATTTCAGCAAGTTCTCTCCATGCATCGTGATCAGCCATGAATCTGCATAGAGGAGAAAAACAATATCAATTGGTGTGCTTCCTCTGTATGTACATTGATTCAAGTAAGCTCAGGATAAGTAAGTAAGTACACACAGTTCAAGATATTTGTTAAGGAACTCAATGGCTGAGGAAAGATTCCCCCTTGCTTTGGCCATAGCCACCCTTCGTTTGTGTATCACCTGTATGAGATATCGAGTTGTACTTTTACAGCAATATATTATTGGAAATTACTAGCTAGTAGTTTCATCAAGACAGGGAGTGGATGGATGCTTACTTGATCAAGTGGATTGTCCTCCAAAAGGCTTGAATATGCTTTCTCAGCCTCTTCCCATAATCCTTTAGCTTCGAGGAACAAAGCCTCTAGTTTGCCTGAAATTCATTGGCAAAATTCAACTGAGATACTAGGATCAACATATATCAAGACCGTATAACACACCCAAAAGACCCAACAATGCAACAGAAAAAAACACAAGCGAGTAAAGACAAGTAAATGAACTAAACTAACTGATTCATTTTTAGACCGCAAGAAGTTAGCTGAGCATAATTGATATGTTCTTAAAATCTGCTCGATTCTGCCATACTTTCCAGAAGGAAAATAGTGGATAACAATGAAAAGATATGGAATTTATTTTCTCTCGTTTGGGGACCCAGTGACCAATAAAGAGAACAAGAGATCATCTATTCATGAAGCCAAAAGAAGTAAAGACAAGCAAGCCATAAAGTTCAACAACTCAACAACTCAGAAAAGTGGAATTCCATGCTTATCAAGCTTCACATAGGCTTACCAACCCTCTTGCTCTCAGGGAATTTCTTCTGCAAAACCTTTATGCAATTCTGCAAAATCCAAAGACAGAGTTGTGCTAAAACATCCACACTGATCTCATATTCACAAGCCAGAAAGGGTGAGATAAGAAAAGAATTGCCTCAGAAGGAAAAGACAAGGAAGCTTATGGCACATGGAAATGCTGTCCAAATCCTTCATTCCTAGCAAAACTTGTACTATTCAAATTCATATTTACAGGAAAAGTTCTAAAAGGGAAGCCACAAATTCGGCATTAAAATTCAACCAAGAGCGAGCCTAAAAGGGAATGATCCAATATAAAATTTGTTTCGAAGGTACCATTGTAAAGTGTAAAAGGCAAAGATATACACCTGTGCAACGTCAAGGCGTTGGCAGTCCATAGCTGCAATTGCTACCTGCTCATATAAGGTCCATTCTGCACAAAATGTAAGTCGTATTATTTAGTTTCACACATAACTGTAAGGTTAGCGAGCAGTTTGTACAACTTAATTACGAGCATAACCGTAAAGCTAAACACATCTATAGCAAATGACAACAAAAGCAAACATAAATCTGATTGGCCAAAAGACAGTATCTCAGGATCTTAATCGTATCAGCTTGTAACATAAAGTCAGCTTTTCTTTTTAATCTGTACAAAACAAAATCGATTCCTCCGGGGTCCATATCATGGGTGGCAAATAATTTTGGGTTTACGGAATGTGTTAGTTACGAATGGTGGACAGTGTCTGTTCTTCATTGCGCAAAATAAAAACTTAGAACTTGTGAATGAAAAACAAATTCTGCTCTTCCTCCATCTGAGGGTAAAAAGTAGACAGGCAAGATATGATCTTTGATGAAATTTCTGGGTTCTACAAACTCAAATTTGCTTAAAGGAGACCATTGGCATCTAAAAAATCTCGGCACTTGCTGAAATCAAACTCCTTTACACAAAAACAGATGGGACAATCCAATGAGAAATAATTCCAGGATAGGGTCTCTCAAAACGATTAGTGTACATGAACTCAAACCCTTGATCAGCAACACATATGCTTTTAAAATACGACGTTTCAGTTTCTGTAGTATCGATTAAACAATAAAGAAAACGAGGTTTTCGAAAAACACAGATTGAAACAACACCCACCCAGTTTTGGTCGGAAACAATCACAAGGATCAAACCCATCGACGCAAACCAGTATCCGACCAGACTTAGCAGAACTTGAGAAATTTTCAATCAAAATAAATCTCAGAATACGCACAATTCAACAACCAAAACGCATCTGGATAACCACAATAGATATCAAATTGAATTCCAATGAACCCGATTCAAATAAATCTCCCAATTCGGAATCAAACAAGTTGTGAAATTCGGAATCACACCAAGCAAAGGAATCCGAATCGACTTACCATCTGGACCTACAGCAGATCGTTTTCCCGGATCATTCAAAATCCCGAGACCATGCTTTAACACCTTCTCTGACCGGCGAACCTTGAGCTTCCGAACAAGACAGAGGTATTCCCACACACCGCCTCCACCATTATCGACCTGATTCTCGAGTTGATTCAGCTGTCTCTCCTCCGTTTTCGTCACCATCTCTCTCTATCTCTCGTCTCGATCTGTCTATAACGGAAGTTCGCCTTTTCTGCGCACAAACTGACTTAGACATTTGACCGGTTCGGTATGGTCCGATTCCGGTTTACTACGGACAGGTACCGGTTTTGGTTAATAAAACGTTGCGTTTAAAAGGTTTTTTTTCCTGACAGTGGAAGAAATGAAACTATCGTCGTGCCTTTCGTCTCTGCTAAAACCCTACTTGAGCAAGCATCGCACAACGACAACAATGGCGACGACTGCTAAATCCCTTGACAGTATGAAAAACGTGGAAGAGTCCGATGTGGGTATCTCCTGTTTCATCTCCCAGCTCCCGGGCTTCCGCGGTATTCTCAAACAAAGGTCATAAGTTCCGTCAATGAATGCTGCATGTTCCTTTTTATTAGAATATTGTTGATGCATGTTCTTATAGATGCGAGTTTTTGTTTCACGGGCTGTTTGAACTGGTAAAGGGATTAATTTAAATTTTGAAGCTTTTTTGATGTTCTTATAATTTTCTGGGTTTGTTGAAAATGGGTGAAAGTGTGTTTTTTTTAAATATATAATATATATGTCAGATGTTTGATGCATAATCCCTTTTACTTGCGTAATTTTTTGTTTACTTCTGAACTTTGGCGGTGTTTGTAATGATTTTTGTTCTGAACTGGTGCTTTACTGAATTATATCTGTTCGAATAATTTTTACAGATACTCGGACTTTATTGTTAATGAAGCGGATATGGATGGAAATGTTGTCCACCTGACATCCTTAGATGTCCCTCCTGAGATGGTTTGCCTTTTTCTTGGGTTTATGTTTCAATGCTTTCATCTATCCACATTAACGTTTGTGTGTTCATATCATATATCTGTTTATGCGAAGTTGTTAACCCTCTGTTCTCGGTATTCTCCCTCTCAGGATGTGAAGGAGGAGAAAGAAATAAAATCCTCAGATAACTTGAACAAGAGTTATGCTTCTGAATTTGAGTCGTTCAGATCAATTGCTAGTGCTTCGGATGCACAGCGGTTAGAAGCCTTGATCGATCAAATCACTTCAGGAAGTGATGGTGAAATATCACCAATTGTTCTTGATCCAAGCTCTGACAAATCCAAGAGAACGGTAATCTTTGAGTCCACTCTGTGAATCTGTGTTTGTGTCATTATCATTACACATCACAATATTGAGGTTACTTTCCAACTTGACTACTTTGTACAGGCTATCCATAACTTTTTTAAGGAGCACTTCAAGTTCTTGGTCACTGACACCGTCGATGGTCCTGATTTTACCTCAAAATGCATCCGTGTGAGAGTAAATTCGGGTGGAATTAACAACAGAGGCAAAGGCTCTAAGAAACGGAAGGAAAGAGGTGATAAGCCTTTCGATAGCAGAGGCTCAGAGCATTGGCCAGAGCATCTAGGCAAGTTTCTCAGGTAATGTTTATACTAGAATTTTGTCAGTATAGCAAAACTGAATGTATTTTAGCACATTGTAAACGAGTCAGCAAATGTTCATATCTGAAATCGAGTCTTATCTTTTCTGAAATGCTTCCCATTAACTGTTGCTCGTCACATTTAAGTAATACAAAATGTATATCACTCAAACTCAATCCATAAGTTACTGTCATACCTTTTTTTTAGGTTCCATCTTTACAAGGAGAACAAAGATACACAGGAGGCCTTGGGATTGATCGGAAAGATGCTTGGTGTTCAGGTGATTTCCGTGGTCTTTTACAGTTGAATTGTGTACTTTACTTGATAAACTAGTTGACATGCTTATAGTTTCCTTGATAAGTTTCATCTTGAATTGGCTATTTGACTTTACAGCCAAAGTCCTTCGGATTTTCTGGCACAAAAGATAAGCGGTCAGTTTCAACTCAGCGTGTGAGTTATCCGGGCCTGTTTCCTGTGTAACATGAGTTTAGCTTGTTACAGTGCATTACATAGAGGTACTTTTTTGTTCTTGTAGGTCACTGTGTTTAAACAACATGCCAGCAAATTGGCAGCACTTAATAAGAGATTGTTTGGTATAAAAGTTGGCGACTTCTGGTAAGTGGACCCGTTCTTCAGTGTTTTTTTATTTACTGGATTATTTTCTGATTGCTTTGTTGCTGGTTGTTACCATTTCTATAGCTATGTTAAGGAAGGACTTCTCCTCGGACAGCTTATGGGAAACAGATTTACAATCACATTAAGGTGAGAATTTGTAAGAATATAAAAATCTTTTTGCACACCGAAATGTCTTTCACATGATCACTCTGTGTGTGATCTTCCATTCTGCTCAGAGGAGTAGTTGCAGATTCCGAAGAAACTATCAAAAACTCTGCAGAATACTTGGGGAAACATGGCTTCATTAACTACTTTGGTTTGCAAGTATTACTTCCCTCTTGTAACCGGCTCTCTGGTGTATTTCTGTGTATGATTTTGGGTAGCTAATATGACTTGCGCTTTCAAGTTTTATTCCGAAGGTTCAAATCGATACTTCTCTTTCATGTCAGCGTTTTGGAAGTGGTTCAGTACCGACTCACCAAGTTGGAGCCGCATTAATGAGAGGAGAGTGGAAAAATGCTGTAGACATGATTCTTGATCCAAGAGAAAGTGATATCCTTTATCATGACACACTCTATTTGACTGAAACGGCCAATAAATATTAGACAATATTGGTGGCTCCGGAATGTATAGTTTTTCCTTGACTTGAAGCTTTTTAATACAGAAGAACTTGATAACTGAGGTTCGGGCATATTACAAAGAGACTGGTGACATTGACGGGACTCTAAAGCAGCTACCGCGTCATCTGGTCGCTGAAAGAGCCATAGTATGCTTCCAGCTTGAAATTTTTTCTCTTGTTCATAGGTTACATATATATATTTATATATATGATAATAACTTCCCTATCTTGGGCATTGTTCAACAGCTGCAGTGTCTGAAAAAATGTCCTGGGAACTACTTGCAAGCACTGAAAGCAATACCCAGGACTTTGAGAATGATGTAAGTGATCGTTTCTTTCTTTAACATGTGCTTTAGTTCCACGAGGAACAAACTCTGGAAAGTGTGATATATCGTGGTTCTTATTGTGGCGGTATGTCTGTCATGGATGTTTAAGCTAGATTTTCAACTTACCTGTGTTTCGATTCCTAATTATGCAGGTATGTACATAGTTACCAAAGCTATTTGTGGAATCATGCAGCTAGTATGCGTGTGCAAAAATATGGTAAATTGATCTTTCTGCATGCCTATTAATGGGTTTTGCTACCCTTTTGTTGTGACGAGAGCAAGTGGATAGATTATTCAAGTTTGCTCTTTTTTGTCTTGTGGTGTGACAGGAACAAACCAAGTTGTGTTGGGAGACTTGGTATATTCCAAGTTAGATGATACAAAAAGTAGGGTTAGTTTGAGTTCTGAGCACGAAGAAAACAACGAGGCAATAGAGTGTGGACAATTAGATGAAACTTCTGTTGTAGATCTTCCTGGGGAAAGGAGTGATCTCGTCAAGGTTAGTTTCTGTCTTTTAACAGCTTCGTTTAAGACAACACCCAGGTGTAAGCTTGCTCTGTTCGTCTCGTATCCCAATGGCTTAAGACTATGGAGAGCATCTTTGATTCACATCGGTTCTGGATCAGATTTATGATTATAATTGTTACCCTTTTCCAGAAAATGAGGATTACGAACCAGTGAGGTTACATAATAATAAAAAACTTAATTTTCTCATATTCTTTAGGTCATAACTGCGGAGGACATAGAGTCAGGAACTTACTCTACCAGTGATATCATCCTCCCGCTGCCTGGGTAAGTTGGCAGCAAGTTCTGTCAAAAAGGTGACTTTTTGTCTTAGATTTAACATTTTCGTTCAAAATTAAACACTTTTTGTTTTCTTTGTATTAACAGTTCAAGAGTCATTTACCCATCCAATGACGTTGCTGACATTTATCACGATTTGGCAAAGAAGGTTTGTTAAACTCTCAGTTCTGCTCGATACTTTATTAAAACTTTTGGATTCTCATCATTGTTCTACTTCTGCTTCTCTACTGATGAAATCTCTACATTTTTTTTTATCTTGCACCGCTCAGAATGGTATCGACTTGACTGAGAGCTCTCACGGTGTCAAGTAATATTTCCGAAACCAATCCTTCTGAAATTCCATATGCTATATCTCCTTGAATCACCTTCTGTTGTATTAATGGCAAGCAAATTGATGTACTGTTTTTTAGGGAATTCTCCATAACTAGCATGACCGGTGGTTACAGGCGAATTCTGCAGAAGCCAATTGACTTCGAATGGTATATATTTTGGACCTTACCTTCCTCTAGTTCCGATACGATAAATTTTATGGTGGCAGAGACTAATTTCTGGCCATTCTTGCAGGGAATTGCTGACTTACACTGACAGCAACACGCCTTTGGCAGAGACGGATCTTGACAGGATAAATAAGACGAGGCCTTTGAATGATGTTTTTCAAGAAGATGGATCTGTAAAAGAAACTGAAAATGAGTCCCTTAAAGCCGATACCAAACCACATGAATCTTCCGAGAATGATATGAAAGTTCAAACAGAATTTGGCAAGGGAGAAGAAGATGGTCCGGAGGATTGTGGAAACCCGAGTTCTCAGCAGATGCAGGTGGCTCTCAAAATGGCTTTTACTCTTCCGTCTTCTTGTTATGCCACAATGGCAATCAGAGAGCTGTTAAAGACATCAACTTCTGTAAGTATTCAAACCGGAATGTCTCCGGGTTCATGTCATGATCCCCCATGCCCATGCATATCCCTTAGTCTTCAGACATGTAATGCTTAATTCAAGAATTAAAGGCAAAAAATATACTCGTAGAATCTCGGCCGAAGAGAAAATGATTACATCTGGTAACTGCAGGTTGCGTATCACAAGACACTGAACCAGTAAACAGCATTTTTGTTAGCCTGGCCAAGCTTCATCCTTCACCGAGGAAGAATAAGAGGTATGGATATGGGGAAATCTTCTTTTCTTGAATCCGTCAGATTCTTGCTCAACGTTTCTTCCGGTATATATCTTATATTTACTCTCATCGAATCTGTTTCTTGGCCGATTCTGATGTTATGGTATATCTGTCTGTCTCTGTGTTCTCAATCTTGTTCTTGATCTCAAATGTATGTTCAAGATGTTCTCTAATGGAAGAGGATGGTTCGATTCGGTCTCTGTGGCAAAATCATCAAGTGGCTTCTTGAATGGAAGAGCTGGCTCTGATTTCCAACACCAGCACTGTAACATTTTTTTTGGCTGTTGGACCAAAAATTTTGAATGCGTAGTTGCATACATCTATATGTTCTTGAACTGTGTAGTTCAGAAATTTTTCTGTTGAATGAAAAGATACACAAAAGAGAAAGACAAGCTACATTTTGGTTAATGTATGCATCAGATTGCAGATGAAGAACACAACTGTCATGTCATGGAAGAAGCATCAGGTAGGGAAAAAAGTTAACAAGAGAAAAGAAAAAAAAAGAATCGGTGTGTTCATCAATCTTGAAGCTTAGAAGAAGTTTCCTTGAAGCTTTTGGACAACCATATGGCAGTTTCTCTGGGCGAGACTTTGCCAGGACCAAACGGCCTCAACAGCACATTCAGTTCATCGTATCTCTGTTCTTGAAGCAGCCTCGCACTGAATTCGAGCAATCCCTCCAATGCCTCTGCCCTCTGCCGGTACGAAGTCGGGTCAAATCTCTGTCTCCTGCACTGACCAGACGAATCACTTCTGTCTTCAGGTTCTGTCTGCAAATCTCTACATTCGATTCCCGGCCATGCATCTGGATACTGCAGTTTCTTTGTATTGCTCTCATGATCACCTGATTCTAGGGTGAACTTGTCTTTGGTGATCGAGCAGTCGAGTGGCTCGGGTGGCTGCGCACTGTAGGAGGACCCTCGGGACGAAGCCTCCTTCTTCCACCTCACGGCCGGAATGAAGGGCTCGTCCTCGTACGAAGCAAGCGGGAACTCGATCTTGTCGATTCTCGGCTCGTTTACAGAGACTTCCGGAGATTTTATGCGGTGAAGTATCCCGATCTTTGGGTTGTACGGAGGTTCTCTTGTTTCTTTCGCGGGTTTTCGAGAGACGGGCATGGATGCCCTGCGAATCAGGCTCGCAGGTTTCCTGCCTGGAGCTCGAGACACAGGTATCTGCAGCATTGTGACATTGGAAGGCTCAGACAAGTAGCCAAGTAACCGAGCGACAAATCAATAAGAGTTTTTTTTTTTGGGATAAATCTCTTACCACATCTCGGTCTCTCCTAGTAGGTTGCCTCGATCTCCCGGGAGAGGCCAAAGCTCTCACCGGAGATTTTAAAACGACGGGTCTGCTGACAACAACTCCATCATTGCTTTCAGTATCTGCGGATATATCAGCTTGCCGTAAGTGGTTCGGATTGCGACATCGGCATACAGCTTTGATAGAAGCAGAAGAATCTCCCTGTTCATCCTCGGATGTACACTGAGCAAGATCCCTACTTTCTCTCATGGGTCCGAATTTTGACCATTGCTCGTGAAGTATGTTGTCGCACCTCGGATTGTTCACTGCGAGATGAACCTTCTGGACATAGGGCTCGAGCAGTGGCTGCCTAAGCAGCTCAGAAGCCTAAACCACAAGACAAAGTCGTTTCTTTCGGCTCGGGTCACGGAAAAGAAAAACGAAAAGTGGAGGAGAGGAGAATTGTGCATACACTTGGTCTGAGTTCCGGGTTCTTCCTAAGCATGCTCTTCACCAGGCCTCGGCTGAAAGGAGGAAAAGAGCCGTGATTTTAATGTGTTCAACAGGACAGAAACCAAACCCGCGAGTTTCGATAGAAGTTGGAAACTTTCAGGGTAGATTCTACACTTACAAGGCGCCGGAATATCGAGCAGGAAGAGGCGCCACGATCGATCTGTTTATCCTATTGATCAGACCTTGCATGTCCTGCTTGATCGAAAACACAGAAAACCCCGATCGGAACGTAGAAAGGCGAGGCAAGAAATCGGAAAAGGCGGAAGGGAAACTTACGAAGGCTTTGAATGCGGGTTTCAGAGCCGTCATCTCGTACATACAACACCCTGGACAAGTAAAAAACCGAAGAAGATTCAGACGAATGATAGTTCCCAAAATCGATTCCATAGATTCAGTGTTGCAGCCATGGACGGAGAAAACTTGCCGAGCGACCAGATATCTGACTTGGACCCATACGGTATATCGGCGAGAAGCTCGGGACACATGTAGGTGGGGGTTCCTACCACCTGATTCACAAAAGGGGTAAAGATCAAACCCGAAAACGAATCATCAGAGCAGCAAAAAAACGTCGGGGAACTGTAACTACTCACCGAAGAGGCGAGATCATCCGACGTCAAAATCTTGGCAAGTCCGAAATCGCCTGCAAAAACTCATCCATTTTTCAGCGTTGGAATCTTTGATTTGAGGTTAGGACATGGCTAAGAGTGTTCTTCACCTAGACGGATGTCTTGATCCTTTGTCAAGAATATGTTCGAACACTGCATACACAGTCTCATGTCAGAATACAGACAAGGAGTAGTGACGGAGGCATCACAGCAAAAAGGGTGGGGGAATAAATACCCGAAAATCAGTCGGATAACACGGTATCCGATTTTCGGGTATCCGACCTTTCGCGGGTAGGGATATATCCGATCATACCTTGACATCACGATGGAGAATGTGATTGGAGTCCAAGTATTCGAGAGCCAACAAGAGCTGGACCAGCCATTTGCACAGTTTCTTCGATAACGAAATTCAAAAAAAAATATGAAAATTCAGGAAGAAAATGAAAAAACAAAACGAGAAAAATAATTAGTTACCTCTTCAGAGAAATGTTTCCCATTAGCTTTCTTTATTGCCTCGGCCCTTGGAATATTCCCAACAGAGAAACACAGTGAGAGAAGAACCTTGTGAAGAAACCAGAACACGAGAGAAGGACAGCGTATATATACGTACATGTCTCCCCCTCTGCAGTAGCCTATCACTATGCACACATGGCATCCCTGAAACCACACATCATCATCATCATCATCATCATCATCATCATCATCACCACCATCCACATGTACTCAAACCAAAAAAGAATACAAAAATTGGGGAAGATGACAGCATGAAATGAAAACCTTTTCGACCCAAGAATCTCTGTATTCCACAATGAATGGGTTCCGAATCTTCGAGATCAACTCCATCTACAATAACAACGAAAGGAAATCGTTGACCAAACCATGTATATCATTCTTTTCCATATCGATTCGCACCTCTTGATGAGCAGATCTTCTTGTTCTGTCGGTCTGTCGGGCCAGTCGGATTTTCTTCAGCACATACCTTCCGTACACACAAGAATCAATTCAAGAACATGAACAAGTGTGTGTGTGTGTGTGTGTGTGTGTGTGTATGTGGTGTAATAGTAGTACTGACTTCTTCTTCTCATGTCTGTGCCTTACAAGAAGAGCCGAACCAAAAGACCCTTTTCCAATTTGCTCAAGAACCTCGTACTGCTCCATTGTAGGTTCTTGAATCTCTCCTCCGCTTTTTTTTTTTTTGTTTTCCTCTGTAGAATCTGAGACAGAGGGAAATGATAAGACACCGAGTAGTAGTTGCTTTCGGTTCATGCCGTCACGATTCTTATGAAGCCAAACAAATAGAAAGGCGAAAAGTAGTCAAAAAATGGAAAAAGTGTTATAATCTTCCACGAATCTTGGAAAATTGGAGTGGCAAATCCCCACCAACCCCACAACAAAGCGTGATATTCATTAGAAAACAGGACGACCCATATCGTAAAATTTGAATTTTTCGGAGTAATGCATGGAAAAACACAGAGAATTCCCGATACCCAATTCATTATATCCTGTAAAAATGTAAACTTTTCTGGTGATTCGGATAAATTTCGAATCTTTTTTCCCCGTGAGGGCTAAAACCCATCAACGGATTAACCAAGAACGTACCCAAGAAGAAGAAAAAGTCTTAAAAGGGAAAGAAACAAGAACGAAGCTTGTGTGTGTGATGTGAGTACCTAAAACGGCGCCGTTGAAAACGAAAACGGAATCGAAGAACGGAGTCTCAGCAGTACACGGAAAAGCTACGAAACGATGTCGTTTCCGTAGCAGCAGCGGTGCTATGGAGGATGAAGAAGAAGACGATTCGCCGTGGAAACTGCTCTGCGAGGAAAAGGACAAAGTTTTCACGACAAGTAAATAGACTCTCATTTAATTTATATAATAATAATAGTGTGAGAAAATTTATTTAAAATATGTTTTTTTAACATAACATATCCGTATGATTTTCGTATGTATAAATAATGCCCCTCTCCACGGGTGTTTTTAACATAAAATAAAATTACAAAGCTCATCACCTTGGGATACGATCATATTGTTTATTGAAATTTTATTTTATATATTCTCGATCTCTTTTCGAAGGTCTCTTTGGATTAACGGACATTTTTTCATTATAATAAACAATTATGTATTTTGTCTCTTTTGGATTTGTTATATTATATGATTGCAACCAATCAATGTTGTATTTGTATGCGCATGTGGATACACATATGTATATATATATATATATATATATGTGTGTGTTTTCCACTTGTTTACTAACTCAATTTTGCAATATTATCAATGGTTGAATCATTTTTTTTAAGATTATTGTCATCATATTGGGACAAAGTTGAAAGGGAAGAAAAGAATGTTATGAAAGGAAATTATAGAGTATAGAAAATAGAATCAAAATAATTAAACAATATATAACGATATTATATTTAAATTCATAATGGATTAGGTATAATTGTTCGAATTAAATTAATTCAGTTTAAGTCTAATATAAAAAATAACAAAAAAAATCATGAAAACTAAAAAAATAGAATTTAAATAAAATAAATTAAATTTCAAATCGAATTAAAACTCAATATAATAAATAAATAAATAAATTTTATAAAAAATAAACTAAATAAAAATAACTGGGAATAATGCTTGCAAGCCTAGACGTTGATTGTTTAAAATCTTCATTTCCTATATATTTCGTTGTGTTGCACAAACCTTTTATGGATTGAATTAAAGTATTTAATTTCTAAAGAATAATAACATTTGATTAAAGGGTTTCCGTTTGAAATGTTAAAACATTGTCTGCGGTTGAATTGTTCAGATATTCTTTTGTCTCATTTTGTCGCTCATATTTATTTATCTTAATATATATTTTTGTGCAATTATAAATATCAGGGATTAATACATATATATAGACTACATTAATCAACCCATAAGAACAGTAGCTGCACCCATCTAAATCAAGGGTGATTTTTTTATACATTTTATCACAATTCACAATTTAATCATTTTTATTTTTATTATTCCGCAAATTTGCCAATATTAGATTACGTTAAAAATTAGAATGATTGATGATGGGATTTGGATTTTAAGTTAAAACCAATATGACCCAACAACATTTTCATATATTAATATCACAAAAATTAAATAAATAGGGGTTACTTTTAAAATTGAGCTGATTATAACGAATGGCGCAAAAATTTAGGAAAATCAAAATAAAATATTTCAATAAACATGTCTATAGAGCAATGAGGAAAAAATTGACATTTTTTTTTTGTCTTACTTGACGCCCACTATTTGCTTTATTATGAAAATATTATCGTAACTTTCGGGCAAAACCGCGTAGGCATAATTTACTATAATTTTAATTATTCTGTATCAACGAATACACATACACATCTCTCTCTATATATATATATGTGTGTGTGTTCATGGACGCCAATAATGAATTGAATTTAAAAGATTATTATTATTTTGTTGATTTTCATATATTAATATTTTATTTAAAGCTCATGCATCCAGGTTTTACAAAAAAAAAATTTAAACATAAAAGATCCAGCAATTTTCCAACCTGAGACTTTGGGTTCAATCGATAAACTAAATGGGCCAAATATGGTCCAATGGGCCCATTGACATGAGGCCCATATTAGTTAATGGTTCTTATAAACGCTTTCTAAACGGGCTTCTCCATGAAAATATAGCATAGGGAAATTATTAAACGTAGGCAAAAGCTGCTGCAATAATAATACAAGAATCGTTGATATATATATATATATATATATATATATCCGTATATATTTATGTATATATACATACATACCTATATATAAACATGTGATAATTATAGAGGTCAACCACAGGACGCACGTGCGCGGAGGACGAACGATGGCCCGAACAATTTGAGAAGAAAAAAAAAACATTATTAAATTTAATAAATAGATATCAAATATTGTGTGCCGAATCGTATAAAATTAAACGGCATATTCGTCGTCTATACATATATATATATATATATATGTGTGTGTGTGCGTGTGTGAGGTAAATTTTGCACGGATAATCATTTACACTTAGAACCAAGAAACAACCAATAAAACATTTAATTTAGCTTAACCTTATAAAATGAAATCCATTGGTTAATAAATGATACGGTAATTTACTATTGCCAATTCCGAACTCCAAATTTTCTGAACTAAGGTCATATCTTTGTTATGAAAAAAATAGAAAAAATTTATGCATTCTAAAATTTATATATGGTCATAAATTTTTTTAAAAAATTATAATTTGTTATCATATAAAAAATTTTATTTTATATAAACGCTGATGAATATAAATTATTAGAATATGATAAATTGTATATATTCTCAAAATTAAAATTTATATTTGTGTTAACATTTCTAAATATTGAATTTTTTTTGGCCTTTTGTTTTTTTATTATTGTTTTATTTATTTATTTGAGGTACTATATGGAGTTAGAATCCTATGCAGACGATCGTGTGGAATTAACAGCGGTGATGGCAGGGCACGTGAATACAGAGAAACTGGGCCCTATTTTTTAAATAACCGACCATCCGTCTTGGGCTTCTGTCCTCTGCTCCACAGCACACTCCTCTACGGTGCATCCCTCTCACACATTATACGTGTCAACTTCTCATTGGATCACGGAATACGAACAAAGAACAGGGCAACGTGTTTTGTGTCAGCGCGACGATGCTATACGGGGTTTTAAGCTGTAAAGTTGGGCTTTCTTTGGGCCCAATAAAGGCCCAATGGGTTTAAATCGACTTCGGAAAACCCATTCGTTTCACGTCAAACCTACGGCCGCTCTCGTCGCCGTCGAAAAAATCTCCGGTGAATGGTTTCTCGTCCTCCGGCGCAGAAGCAAGAGGCTTTATTCTTCGACCCTTTGTGAAAAATTATCAAATAAACATTTTTTTACGCTTGTGTATTGGTATTCTATTTGAATCCATTAATGAATCTTGTGATTTTTTTTTTATTGAGATTGTATTAAAATAGCCCCTGTAAATTTGTTGGTAAATCTTTTGGAAGGGACAGTTACCAGTTATTTTTTGTATTGTATTTTATTATCCAAGTAAATAATGATTTTGTATGCGGTGGGAAAAATATTCCTCAAAATGAATATAATTTTGTTTTGACTGTACTAAATAATGATGAAATTTTAAACTTGGTATATATATATATATATATATATACACACTAGGGCTGGGCACAAATACCCGAAAAATCGGATATCCGTCGGATACTCGTCTCACGGGTATCCGATTTTAGGGTACTCGTCATTTTCAAATCCGAATCCAAATCCTGATTTTTCAATACTCGTGAATCCGAATCCAAATCCGGATAATAGAATTTTTAAAACCGGATATCCGCGGGTATCCGACTATTATGATTATAAATAATTATATTTTATATTTATATAATATTTTAATAAAATATAATTAGTTTAGATTAAATAATTTCATATTTTTAATATTAATTCAAAAAAATTAAATTTATTATTATTTATCTCTTATTATCTCTTTTATCTCATATATTTTATCATAATTCATCAATTTTTATAAATATATCTTTATTTTTTGAAAATTTTATATATAAATATTGTTGTTTTTCTTAAATAAATCCGAATCCGGATATCCGCGAATACCCGACCATTATTCCGGATATCCGTACCCCGGATACTCGTAAATATCAAATCCTGGATACAAATCTTATAGTTAAATACCCGAGTCTTCCAGATCCAAATCCAGATCTCTCGATTTTTCCGGGTATCCGACCACCTGTGTCCACCCCTAATATACACAAGGAATTGTTACAACATCTGTATTTTACCGTTTAAATAGTTTTTAAAAAAAAATACGATGTTATAAATATCCAAATAAATCACACTATTGCATCGCAATTCTAAATCGTCGAGGGGATTCATTCATATTACATATTTTTATCTTAGAAAGATAAACAATTTTAATTCTTCAATTACAACCACTTGTATATCAATTACATACATCACTTTATGCATATGTTTCTGTACCCATTTCCGTAACGGCTTCGGAGCATCAGCCGCGTTGCACGTCTGATCAACTGCCACGTGGTGAATCTCGACACAGACAACATCCGAGCCGGTTTGAACCGGATTTGTCCGGAGGTCCAGATGTACGGTTTAGATTTGACAAAAATACATGTAGTATAAATTCTTGCTTAATTTCTTAAACACATAAAACGTTTTTAGTGGTAGACATGTGTGAGATTGGTGGAAGTAAAAAGATTTGTTGGCTAAGTTGATGACAACAATATATCTATATATATATATATATATAAAATATGTTAATACACCATTATTAAAATTGACATAAAAAGGTGACTGATTAAAAAGGAACAATGGGGATTGTGTTAGCCGAAAGCGAAACGATATGTGGATTTCATACAATGTATTTAACATAATTTTTAAATGTTGTAACCAAATTATGTATATATAACCAAACTTTTAAAAATAACATATGCTTTTATCATCACTCTTGCAGTCTTACAGTTCATCGATCGCTTCCGCCGACGTTCACATGCCACAGCCCTAAACATTTTTTTCTTTCTTTTTCTTTTTTATTAAAAAAAAAACCCTAACCATGTTCATAGAGCCATTATTCTACCATTCACATATATGAAATAAATACGTGTATATATATATATATGGTGAATAAATATATGTACTATATATACAGGGTGTAAGTTTCAGCAATATTTATTTGAGTTCCAGGAAGTAATTATCCCAACCAGATATTAATTTATAATAGTGATATACGTAGCCCTTTTCATATTAGGGTTTATATTATGATG